ACGACTCAATGAAATTTATTTTCTCTCTTCTTTGTCCTCCCCTAGGTGTTTGGAACCATTGAAAATATTCAGCTCAAGAGTCATATTCCCAAAGGTTAATTGCATGACCATATTCCTGCAATTGATTAGTGCATTTGAAGTTGCTAGGAAGGGTCGTCCAACAAATGACGGGAATTGGGTTTTCTGAATGCTTTGCTGGTTGAGTATCTAGAACAATGAAGTCAACAGGGAAGACAAAGTTGTCCACTTGAACAAGTACATTTTCAACAATGCCCCTAGGGACTTTGATAGATCTGTCTACCAACTGGAGTGTAACACTGCTGGGTTTGAGTTCACCCAGACCCAACTACTGGTAAACAGAGAATGGGAGCAAATTGACACTTGCTCCAAGGTCTAATAGTGCTTGTTCAATTCTAAAGTTTTCAATGACACACGACACAGTTGGACACCCAGGGTTTTTGTATTTTGGAGGGGCTTTATGTTGAAGCAAGGTACTGGCTTGTTCTGTCAAGAAAGCTCTTTTTTGGACATTCTAGCTTCTCTTGACTATGCATAAGTCTTTTAGAAACTTGGTATAAGACGGAATCTGTTTGATTGTATCTAGAAGTGGGATGTTGATCTTTACTTGCTTGAAATGCTCATAAATTTCTGGCTAATTATTCAACTTCTGTACAGTTTTGAGTCTATGAGGAAAAAGAGCAGGAATAGGACACGAGGATCCTTTTCCTTTTGATGGTTAAGGCTCTTCTTCAATCACAAGTTCAGTCTCAACTGGTGAGTTGACTGGGATTGACTCAGGTTTTGGCTTGGAAATTAGCATGTCTCTAATGGTGTTGTCAATCACCTTACTACTTCCTAGTGTAGTGACAACTTGGATTTGGTCTGGTGGGGTTCGCATGGTTGCAGGATTTCTCACATGAAATTGGCCTTGTGGTGGTTTTGGTTGGGCAGAAAACTTGCCCTTCTCATGTGTGGTCATGGATTAGGTCAACCTTTGGATGTGGATTTTAAGATCCTCGAAAGATTGAGTGGTCTGGGTTTTAAAATCAATAAAAGCCTAAGTAGAACTGTTGTTATAGTTCATTTGACTTTGCATAAACTGATTCAGGGTATCTTCAAGGCTCCTCTGTTATGGTGGTTGGTATGGTTGATACGTGGGAGGTCTTTGAGGTGGTGGGTGTGAACCTTATTGTTGGTTCATGGGAGTTGGTTGTGTGTTTCTCTAACTGAAGTTTGGGTGGTTCCGCCACCCTAGATTGTATGTTTCAGAGTATGGGTTGGACTAAGGCTTGTTGAAGTTAAAAATTGCATTTGTTTGCTCCAACATAACCTCTTTAAGTGCTGGAATGGTAGGACACTACCTAGTAGGGTGTCCTATCAGCGCACAAATCCAACACACTTGTTCTGTGGGAGGGCCAACATCAACTTGATGAACCTTTTTCATCTCTAAAGCTTCAAGTTTTCTAGATAGGGTGAACATTTTTGCTCTTAGGTCATTATAATCTTTCAAGACATACTTACCCCCTTGGGAAGTAGATGGTTTGGCTTCAACAATAGTAGGGGAGGTTGAGTCCCACATCTGAGAACTGTCAGATATGGTGTCAAAAAAATTGAATGCCTCCTCCGGACTCTTGCTCATAAACTCTCTTTGAGCCATCATTTTGACAAACTGACGTAGTCTAGTGGGCAAGGAGTCATAGAAAAATCCTACCAAAGTCCAATTCTCAAAAGCATGGTGCGAGCAGGACTAGAGCAGATCCTTGAATCTCTCCCAACTTTGGTAAAAGGTTTCTTCTTCTTTGATCAAAAAATTCATGATTGTCCTATTCAGTGCATTAGTGCGGTGTAGAGGAAAAAAATTTCTGAAAAATTCATTTTGTAGTGCTCGCTAGTCAGGTATTGAAAGAGCTTTTAAAGAATTTAGCCATTGTTTCGCTTTATCCTTTAGAGAAAATGAAAAAAGTTTCATTTTGGCTAGTTCAGAATTGTCTTGAAACGTTTCACATACTTCCTCAAACTCTTTTATGTGCAGATATGAGTTTTCTATTTTGAGTCCATGGAATTGAGGGAGTAGTTGAACTATCCCCGACTTTACAGTAAAGAGGGGTGCAACTTCAGGAAAGATAAAACAAGAGGGGACGTTATTTCTTGTGCGATTTAAGTAATCCCGCAAGGTTTGAATGTTAGACACTTCCCCTTTTCTCACAAAGACTTCTCCTTGTCTCTCATTATTTGGCATTCTACTTTCACAAGAGTCTGCTATTAATATAGGAGAAGGTGGTTTAGGTTGATTCACAGACCCAGAAGATTCTGTCGGCAAATTTTGATAGTGAGGAGCGTCCTCATACATTAAAAAAAATGAGTTTATACACAATAAAGAAAAGAAAGAATATATACAAAAAAGAAGGTCTTCTTACCTTTTACCTTAAAACACCTTTTATGGTTCCCTGACAACGATGCCAAAAACTTGACTTGATCCGATATGTGTACACCCAAGTGCAGCAGCCAAGTTGTAGTAATAATCCAGTTAAGTTCAGAGTCGAATCCATAGGGAACTATGATTAGTGTTTTGAAGTAGCAGTGATAGAGACTAAGTAACTGGAAACCTTAAGAGTTTGAAGTTATGAGATTTCTTGAATAGAATATAAGATTCTTTCCAAGAGTTTTTCTAGACAAAATATAAGATAAATTCAAATGTAAACAGTCACCCTTTAACTCGAAGATCTGAACATGTAGTTAATCATTAGGTTTATTATACTTATGTTTGGTAACTCAATTAACTCCCGTGTCAACGGCAAGTTAATCGGAAGGTAAAGGTGGATTGTAAGAATTAAGCACATAGTTCCGATGTCTTTCTAGAAGTTTACAAGAATTGTATGCGCTGAGACTCAATCCGTCTACAAACAAGAAAATGTTTCTACAAAGCATCCAACTGTGGTGTTAATATTCCATCTTTTAAATGAAGTCCAATAATGGTGAAGATTGAAAGGTAGTCATGAGATTTAGCCGGCGTACTTGCCTTGAACACATGGATCGTTCTATGCAAGAGTCATCCATGTCATAGAAAAAATCCACAGTTGTACAAAGTACCTTAGTTTTGCTAGATGAATTCAATCATTCAATAAGTAGATGTAATATAAAGCATTAAAGCATAAATGAAATGCACAATATATAACTTCCAGATGATTTATACATGTTCATCACCTCTTACTAAAGAGTGAATAAAAAGCTACTCACTCTTCATGACTTTGGTAAAGCTAGAAAACTGAGTGATGCTCATCCCTCTAAGAAGAGGACTTACAAGGTAAAGTACAATAAGCGAGGAACTGATCTTCGACAAAGAATGAGTGAATCACGTTCCACCCTTCACGGCTTTGGTAAAGCTCTAGAAAAGTAAAAGAGTTTCATTCTTCTAAGGGGAGGAAAAAGCTCAAGCAATGGAAGTGAAAGACAATAAGTGAATGTAGAAGAAAGCTAGTCACTTTTGGAGGGTTTCCACCGCAACCAAAAGATGATCTATCTCCATTGATACAAGTAAATATAAGGCTAAGTCTAAGACTAATTATACAACTACAAGTGGGAGTCTAAGCCTCCTTCAAGGTCTCTCCTAGTTCTTGGTGTAGTCCAAGCCTTACAAACCAAGTTCTAGTTTCCTACCAAAAATCCTCTATATCTCCCTCCTTTTGAAGCTCCCACAATGGGAGTATTTATAGGCAAGAAGGGGGGACAAGAGAGTGTGAAGGAGTAGTGTATGCTGCCCAAGTCCAAGTGAAAACTAACTACTCTACAGCTAGTCTGGAGACAACGTTGAAACGTTGTCTGACGTTCGAACGTTGTATCTGTCTTTGTTTGATGGGCGTTCAAACGTGCTGATGGAGTCTGAACTTCCCACTCAAGTGGCATGTAGTCTTCTGTGAAGTTCATTTCCACACTCCATGCAACAGTCTAGTCTTCTCATGATTTATGGTAACGTTCGAACGTTAATTGGCGTTCGAACGTGGTACTCAAGTACCTCAGGGTTTTCCTTCTTAGCTGCAACACGCCATGTCTTAGCAGTCTGGTCTTCACATGATTTAAAGTAACTTTTGAACGTTGATTGGCATTCGAACGTTCTTGCCTTGGTCCAGGCTTTTTTCCATTTTTGCTCCAGTGTTGCATGAAAGTCCCTTGTATAATTTATGCTCTAAAAAATCATCATTGAAACTCCATCAAAGTACAATTACTTCTAAAAAAAGGCATAGTGTTATACTATTTTTAACTACTAATCACTAATGTGCAGTTGAGGGCAAGGCGTTGGCATTGTGTGCTAGGCTCTGGGTTCCTGGCTGGTGGTTGGCGCTAGGCACTGATGGAGTATAAGAAGAGTACGAAGAAGTGGAAAAACTTTGCGTCAATTGTCTTTTTAAGGCGATTTTTTTTAATCTAGGTATTTTTTTTTAGATCTACCAGAATTAAATAGCCTACAACAGTTTGGGCACCAAATTTCCCTAAAAATGCGTATTTTCAACTGAATTTGAAATTTTAACCACAAATTAATGAGGAAGTAGAATTTTCATAGCCATGTTCCATTCATGGGAAAGGATAACCTTCATTCTAAATGGATGAAATCATAGTTCTCAAGGTACTCTAATGAGGGAGAGGTAGACACATTTGTGAGGGCCAACCAGCATGAGTAGGTATTGAGGACTCTGATGAGGGAAAGGTAGACACAGTGAGTGGTAAAGGAAGAGTTGAGGGTGGCTCGTGAGAGCACCTCTAGAGGTTGAGTTTTTGGTAACTCATGAGAAAACCGCTAAACTGGAGATTAAGATTGAGGCTGCTTGTGCGAGAGTAAAGACATAGTAGATTGAGCTTTTGGTGACTTGCGAGAGAGCTACTAAGCTAGAAGTTGAGATTGAGGATTCTTACGTGAGAGCAATAACAGAGTAAGTCGAGCTTTTGATGACTCAAGAGAGAACTGCTAAGTTGGAGATTGAGGTTGTTTGCGTGTAGAGGTAGAGTTAGGCTGAGCTTTTGGCGACTCGCGATAGAGCTACTAAGCTGGAGACTGAGGTTGCTTGCATGAGAGTAGATGCAGAGTTAGGCTGAGCTTTTAGAGACTCAAAAGGCTCATTCCCAAGAGATTGAGAAGAGGAAAGAGATGCCAAAACAGGTGCCAGAGGCGAGGCAGGCACTAGAAGCGAGGACGTAGGTGCCAAGGCAAGGGCGACAGAGGTAAGGACGCCTAAGGCAAGGAGATGGGTGCTAGGTGCTTGGGAGAAGGCACAGTTTCTTCGAGGCACCGGCATTGTTGGGAAAGAAGATGTTGACGGGAGGCGCCCGAATGTCGGGAACAGAGAGCAAGCATGCGCGGCGGTGAGAGCATGCGAGAGTGGTCTTGATTTGGACAAAGAATTTGGCAATAATGGAGGACCCATCATTTTCAAGACTTTGTGGCAATAAAATGAAATCATCTTATTGGAATATTTTTTAACAAATTGGAGAAAAAGGTGGGGAACAATGGGTGGCCACTTGAAATATTTTTTGAATAATGTGGAGGATTATATTAAAAATTCAAGCAAGTGGGAAGCATGATAGCTAAGGCACCTGCATAGGGGGCGCAAAGGGCGATGGCAGAAACCATGTTACTCATCGTCCACAGTGATGCAAGTAGTAGTTATTGACCATCAATACTAATGTTGAATTGCTAAGATTGTCTTTACTTTTTGTATTCCCCTCCATGTGAGGACTCAACTCGCCTAGCTTTGGCAATATCCTTAGCATTCATGTATTTTTGGGCTTTTGATAATAATTCTAGCATGTTCTTTAGCATGCGCTTTAAAATTGAAAACATAAGACTAGATGAGCACAGGCCTTCTATGAAGGCCGCCATGGCTAATTTATCATCTGGTTCTTCAATATGAAGGACTTCCTCATTAAAATAAGTGAGGTGACTCTTTAGGCTTTCATCCCGGTCCTGCTTGATGCTGAGTAGTGGGTGGTAAGATTTTGGTGTCGATGTTCCCAATGATGTATGAGACAAAGAACTTGCTTAGTTCAACAAAGGAGTCAATGGAAGCCCGAGTAAGCTTGGAGAACCACTGACGAGCAGATCCCTTGCGGGGTGATAGAGAAATCCCTGCACATGATCTCGTCTGGTTTGTTGTACAACTTCATCAGGAATTTGTAGGTGTCAAGGTGGTCTAGTGGATCTTTGGAGTCATCAAAAACTTTCACGGTTGGCATCTTGAACCTTGTGGGAGACGGTAGTTGGCTACATCAGCTACAAAGGGCATGTTAGTACGCCTCCCAAGGTACTCAACCATTTCAGGCATTTGCACCTTCATGGTATTGAGACGTCACCGAGTTAGTTCTACACTTCTTTGATTTTATCATCCCAGTGGTTGGGGACGTCTTCCGAATGGTCCTTGTAGTGGCTCTTGTGGTCAACACACTGATTTTCCCCCTCCTCTTCTTGGAAAGGGGTGTCACTAGCGTAGTATGACGGAGTAGGCATGTAAGGAAAGGACCAGTGCGTCTTGGTGCTAAAGGGCACCTTAACGCTACAAGGGGGTGCCTTGGTGTTGTTGGGGGTGCCCTGGGCGAGGTGCCTGGAGTGTTTTCCCACCTGGGTGCTTGGCAAGCATCAACTGAAGGATCTGCTGGTTTTGATTCGCCAACTGCTGCATAGTCTCCAACAACTTTTGCTGCAGTTCAAAGATGGGATTTTTTGGCGGGGGAAGGACTTCCTCCTAGCGTTGTTGATCATCCTCTATTTGTTGATTCATGGATCTAGAAGTAATAGCCATAAACACACAAAAAAAGTTGGGTGAAAACTAAGTCATTCCCACTGACAAGGCCAAACTAATGATGCACAAAATGTGTGTTATGCACCACCTGTCAAGTATTTAATGCAATAATTAAGGAGACTCAACACAAGCAAACAAAGTTTGGTCAAGACCTACTCCACTATGAAGGGCTACGGTGGTCTGAGTGTTTTATTGTTCATTGAGTGTAGGGTGCTCAGATGTGAGGGATTCTCCCTTGTGTAGTTAGGGCTAACAATTTATAGGTGTTTTCTAACAAATTAAGGCACTATTTTCGTAACAAGCGAGCCAGTTGCATGGAGGTGACGACGTGCACTTGATGACTGCGTCCCAAGGAGATCTCCTCGTGTGTCAGTTGTAGATTGAGTCTCTCAAGATGGCGAGACTAACTTGACTGAGCTTGGCCTGTATATTTGAGTTGGGTCTGGTATGCATCTCTAATCTAGGCCTGGAGCCTATCATTTGTGATTTGGGTCGGGCCTGTCAATACTTGTACAAGCACTACACATTATTCACCATTAGATTATACTATTTAAACACAATTAATGTGTAATTATCTATACTACTTATAAAAGTGGCTTAAGTGAAAAACTTTTGATCCTTAAATAATTCTATAATATCTACTTTATCCTTTTTAAAGTGGTTTAGAAGAAAAAATTTTGATTTTCTTATTTATCCTTCAAAAATTTTAGAATGCCTACTTTATTCTTTTTTTACAACAACGAGGAGCAGTTGGACATGGGCTTTCCCTTCCTCCTACACTACTGTTCTAAGAATCCAATATTCAAAGATACCAACATCCCCACAAAATCAAAATTCAAAGCAATTTCAATTATGTTTTGTATTTTGAGTTCAATTCTTTACCATTATTATGAGATTTGGTTCTACATTGTGTTTGTATACTAGTTTTTTGATATGTTCCCATGGTTTTAGCTGCTTCAATTTTTATTGCTACTAATAAAAGTGGTTTAAGTGAAAAACTTTCGATTTCCTTATTTATCCTTTAATAATTCTATAATGTCTACTTTATCCTTTTTAAAGTGGCTTAGGAGAAAAAAAAATTATTTTCTTATTTATCCTTCAAAAATTATATAATATCTACTTTATCCTTTTTTGAGAATTTATTAGTTGCATTAATTCAACTAATAAATTCATTGCTTGACTTTTGATTATCTTCTTTCCAAACAATATAAATTTGACCCAAATCCAATTCAATTGTCTAACGAACTTTATTTTTTACGATGCATATATAAATCCGTTAAAATAGATATCCATTATAATTTGAATAAGTTGATTAGAAACAATTTTAACATTTAGCATATAAATTTCTCCTCAATTTTATTAAATAATCACCAATTACATCATATGTTTGTAGGTACGTAGTGCATATCCAAATTTGCTAAAAAAACAAATATTTGAATAGATATAATAATCTATATACTACTTTCGAATGTCAAAACTTGTCAAAAAAATTTAGTTGATAATACTATCCTTAAAAAGATAAAAAGACAATAATGACATATTGTAATAACTTCTTATTAGTCCAAGAAATCAATAATCGTTCAACTATTAATCACTTACTGAAGTTAAACATTATAGTTTTTAAATGTAATGCAATTCAATTTTTTTTTTAACTTTATGCAATTCAATTCATACAACCTAAAATACAAAAAAAAATCTTGTGCGTAACAGTTACCCCACGTCAACAGTACCATTTCGTATAATCATCCACTAAAAAGGAAACAATTGGATAAGTAAGCCCCAAAAAACTCAATAATGATCATGTAATATATAACTATCTCCATATAAAGAAATTGATCCAATTTATCTATTTTTTTTTAAAAAAGGCAAAATAATTGGTGTGCGTGTGCACCAACTAGTCCCCACAAATATACGATGAAATGTACTTTTTAATAGGGAAACACCCCGCCCCGCTAAACTCGTGAGTTATATATATATATGTGTGTGTGTGTGTGTGTGTGTGTGTGTTTTTATATAAATATGTATCTATATTACTAATAAAAATACCTTAACATGAAATTTTTTTGATTGACTAATGTATCCTTATAAAATAGTACAAAGGCCCTTGTATCCATTTATTGTTAACTATTTAAATTACTTTTATATTTTTCTATAGTTAAACATCCAAATTATCTTCGAAGAAATTTTATTATATATAAGAAGACAGTAGTAGATGAAGTACCATATCAAAAATTACAAATTTATGGGTTAAATTATATTTTTTTGGATTCAAATTCTAAGAAAAAAATTACATCATAACATTTTAATCAATCCTAAAAAAATAGAACTTCAGAGGTCAAGTTATATATTTTTTTCAATCCTAAATGTTAAGTTCAATCCTAAAATTTTTGAATCGATTTCAAACACCTCAAAATTATGACTTAACTTCCCAATATTATATATTTGTTGTATGGTCCTGAAAATAAATAAATATCCATACCATAGAATTATCCTAATCATATAGTTCTTCAAGCGTCCCACTATAGACCACAATGTCATCAAGATCTACCACCACAAACAGGTCCAAGAATTTATCTATATATACTCTACTCTATAAATGCTAACTATCTTGAAAAAAAAATTATTCTTCTATTTTACCCTATTTTAATATATTAAAGTCAAAATTTTCTTCACCTAATAACTACCATAATTTTAGAATTAGACTCTTAAAATTATGAAATAATAGTTTCAAATGGTCACGAAGTGACTATGGATTCTACACAAAAATATTCAGTTGCATTCAATGTATCCATATTTTATATATCAATTACAATTTTATATTTTCCAGACATAAATTGAAATTTATTTTGGTTGAACTTGCGTAACTCTGAAAGTCTGTAACTCTTCCTCTTACTCATGACAACTCTGGAGTTACAAAATTATTAAGTATTCATAATGTTGCTTGACAGATACTAAAGAGAGAGATATGATGTTTTGATTGCTTCGACAGAGATGGCAAGCAATAGAAAAGAGAAGAAGAAAGTTTAGCCTCTCGAGAACCTCATTCTAAAGTTGTAGATGTTGCCCCTAAGAGGAATCTCCATTGTCAATCATTCTTCTTTTGATGATTTTCTATTATCCGTGTAATAGTCAACATGAGTTTCTCTAATTGTCTGATGTTTATAATAACTTTAATTTGAACTTTATTTTGTTTTTAAGTTTTTTTTTGTATTTATTCGGGAACTTGATTTACATGCTTTACTCATGTGAAGTCACAAAGAAATACTTAAATGAACGAACAGTAAAGACCTATGACTTGATCATGTCTATATAAAATTGAAAAGGTAAGGATAAATCTAATATTTAAAGACAACAACTATAACAAATATTAGTTTATTGTGTTAAAAGAATTAATATTAACTATCTTAAGTAGATCTTGTAATGAGTTTGGTTGTGAAATATGAACTTTATGTACTAAGTTGAATAAAGTTAATCACAACATATACAACAACCATCTTACTCCTTTGATTTAGTGCAAAACACATTATAAAGTTTTTGTGAATATCATATTTGTTTATTTATAAAAATATGATATATATTATTTATTAT